AGAAGTAAATAACAAATTGAATACAAAGGAAGGCACTTATCGACACATGTCAAAAAGATTGAAAACGATTGAAATTGTGGTTGTAAAACTTGTCAGCCCAACATTTTTCGAAGTTTGTACTACTACGTGAGAGATTTCTGCATTTTGATTGGCTTAATGCAGTGGTATTTCAGCTTAATTTGAAATACCAATATGTGAAAATTACAGACCTTATGCGGGTGGTAGTATAAACCAATAATTCACTTGACACAAAGCTGCGATTTTCAGGTCATTCACATTTCTAGCTGACATATCGAATAAGAACACCCGAGTAAGTGACGTAAAAACAAAGTAAATGAACATGCCAGCCGTAATGATTTTATAGTACCGCTAAAAACCTTTGATATTACTTTATAATGATATACTTTAAAAACACAAGTTTTTTTTTTTAAGAAAAAAACGTCTTATGGCAAACTTCCGATAGGTGAGAGTATTTGCATAGGAGAGTATCCTGTCGAAACAATCATCCCTCCTCATCTTTTTTACTTGTTTGGGGAGGGGGAGGGGGAGGTACGAAATAGGAAGGTCCGGAATTCATTCTAAACAAAAGGAGTGAGAATTTTCATAGCAATTAGAGAATCACAAGGAAGTGAATGAGAATTAAAATTCTTTGCCACGAGAATGGCCACTTGACATTTCCTCGTGTTATATTTGCAGGTCGCATATTCACCTGCATCTTGGCGAGTGCCAGAGACGCTTGGTTAAATGCGCAGTTACTGGGTGCAATAACTATCACTCGCTGGGTGGAGAGAGCAACCATGACAAGCAATACCAGGAAAGTCATCAGGTATTGCTGAAAAATGAAGTGCAGAGCCTCAAGTTTGCGCTATTTAACAAGGTAAGAAAATCACCTCTCATTTGTGCAGTAACCTGCTCAGCAATATCCTCCCTCGCATACGTTCTTAGGGGTTCCTTAAACGTCTCTGCCCCACGAGCCCACGCTAGAGGGCCAGGAACGCGTGAACGTCTGTCTCTAAGAACGTCTGCTTTGGAGGCTAGCGTAGCACTCGGCATGCGCTTAAAAACATTAAATGAGCGCAAGGAAGATCCGGGCGCGCTAGTATTAGGTGCCTGGAAGTATTATTTAGTAACTAGTATCGGTAAATTGTTTGAATTTTAAGAACTTAGATAATAAGTACCAATAATTTATTGGCGGTCACTTACACAAACAAGAACCATGCAATGTTCGACAGGGATGTCACTAAAAAGGGGAACGGGTAGTAAGGAACGAGCACGGGAACGGGGATATGGAAAATAGGAACAAAACCTAACTTGAACCCAGCCCTAACAGTAACTTCATTTACAGTTTTCTGTTTCGTTCCCATTTTTCATTTTTCCCGCTTGTCGTTCCCGGTCACCCGTTTTATTAACAACAACAAAAAAAAATTCAGGCTTCTGAATGTCGGGACGTTTTTTTTCTGATTTATCGATCCGGTTCTTATTACTTCACTTTTCCTTGTATTGGACAGGCTGGCGAAAATATAGAGAGAAAGGTGCAGAAGATAAAGAGTTTCAGATGGACTCTCAAGCTCGCTGACCTCACAGAGGGAAAAGATCCAGCAAGCCCGTTCTTCTGCTTTGAACGATGCACGTTTCGATGCATCTGGCGGAGAACATGCACCCCCAAAAAATTGGAACTGGAACAAGTGATTTCCTCCAAACCGCTCACTGTCCGAGCAAGGTCGGTGCATTTTATGGAGATACGATGAGTTAACATAATATAAAAGAGGAGTGACCAATTCTTGCCCCAAACCTATCTAATGCCTCAATAATTTTCAGCCTAATGGAAAGCTGTACATTTCCTTCCAAACTATCTATTCCGTAGAATAGAAGTTTAGCGATCAATACTTTTTCTATCAACTTGCATGTCGCTAATAAGCACCTTGCCTACCGGGGTAATTGAGCACCTAAATCCCCAGTTTTTAATTTATGCTTATGAAGTAATCTGTAAATGTACACTTGCTATACCAATAGTGGTTCTTTATTTATTTTTTTTGTTTTATATGTTTTCCTCAGATTCGCACTAATCAGGGACGGTGAAGTGGATAAAATATTCGAAACTCGTTCACCAGAGAGTATATGCGAGGGAAGTTCATTGAGCACCGAGGCAGACTTCGGTCGCCTCACCGATGTTCAAGAACTGATAATTAAAGTAATTATATTGATCTACAGCTATGAATAAAAATGTAAACTGTAATTCGAGATGCACATTTACAGCTCTCATTTCTAATTACGAATCGCTAGTGAAAACAAGCCTTATAGAATCTAAGGATCTGTAACCGAGCAGCCGTCAATTCAAAGCAAGTATGCAAGAGAAATTAAGTCTTCCAATTGCCGCGTTTCATCAATTTGTACGTAATCGTGTTTAGTTGATTTAATAGATTTAATTTAATTCCCCTTATGAGCGGAAGGAAACTTCGTGAAATTGCTTTTTTTTTCAAAATACATCGAACAGGTTACAAAAATCACATTCGATCTGCGTCACATACCAGTAACGAGGATGGTTAGCTCAAGTTCGGGATTCTATACTTATATATGCGTGTGTAGTGGTATAAAAACAAAAGTGAAAGAATAAATAAAACAATAATGTTAATTATTTACAAGAACGCCAAATACATCTTTTTCGGGGATTTTTCAAATTTAATAAATAAAAGTTAGTCCATTTTAGACACATTTAAGAGTTCTTTATTGTCTCCGTGTGGGTGAGTATGTGGGTGGATAAATGAGAGGGGGTGCTGATGGCTATTGGCTTGAGAATATATTACGTTGGGATCCGTCCAAAAATTGCGCCGGCTCCCTTCCCGCCAGACTTTTAGCCATTTCCTTCGATTTTTAATGGTGTTCACTTCACTCTGTTAATTATTCTGCCCCTAGTAATAGCCAATATTGGTTGATACTATTAATTTTCTTTTACCTGTCTTTACTATCTTGACGTTGTCACGTTCGCTATTGGTTCTTCAAGACGAAGCAAAATCTCGAGCTTCAATGGCCGGTTTAACCTCCTCTGTCACGGACGGGTCATGAAGGCTCCCTGAAGGATCTATGCCGAATCGATTCCCAGATCTAGAACCTTATTCACTCGCCCTTAAGTTGATTTTCATCTGCGAAAGATTTAGCCCATATTGCTGGAGAGTTGCGTTCAACTGAAACTAAAAAAAAAAAAGATGACTGATCAAATAACAAAAAAAAGGCAGGATGAAACGTAGCTCCTGGGTGTCTGGCCAGTCTACCGTTTCTAAGCTACGCTGGTATTTAAGAAGAGGTATTACATTTTTGCGCATTGGATGTTTTTTAAAAATGGCTAATAGGATAGAACAAGGTAGAAAATCCCAGTTCTTTAATACTTAGTTCCCAATATTTTCACCTCGTCAAGGAAGTTTCCAACATTATGAGCTAAATCAAAGGCCGTACTGGAGCAGAACGGTTCCCATCGAAGAATTCACCAAAACCATAAGGCATTTACCCTCTAATAGGTGTCGGCAACGTATTACAGTAGTGGGTTTTTTAACGTTTATCGCGTCGACGACGTTTTGCATGCTAAGGAACGTTGCTAGTTCCGATAATATTTTCAATATCTCTCAATTGCCACTTTTCGGCAACAAATTTGAAGAATTAGTTATTTAAACTTCTCGTGACGTATGCCAAAGGTGTGATAATTATAGAAAGTCAAAAGAGTTGTATTTACTTTTTGAAATTCAGAGACCGCTTTTATATGATGCCGATCAGTTTGAGCTTGATGAACAGCATACTCGCCGAGACGAGAAATTAACACTTGAGTTTAAACTCGAGCCACGAGATGAAGCATCAATTTTTGTTTGGCACATGTAAAGTGTACATCGATAGGTGAAATACAGAACCGTCCCGGGAGAACCGTAAATAACATTTTAATATTTCATGAGATGTAACGATCGCTTTAAAAGTCATTCACGCATAACAGACAATCAGTATAACAATAGATACATGACATTTCAAATTATTAGAATTCACAAGATCATCTTTTTAAAGCTTAATAAGCATAATCGGGCTAGACACGTGCACCACAGACGTTGTCCTCCTCCCTACTCTCGATTTTTAGTGAGATCTCAATATTCTATATCAGTCGTTTTCATTAAAAATGAACCTTCGTCAACTGTTGGAATTAGAAAGGGGGCCGACGGAAAATTTGATTCGATGGCTTCAAGGCAGAGCTCTATTAGCTAACCCTCTCCGTTGTCGACAGTGCAATCAAGACATGGTGCTCAGGGAAAGAGGCGATCAGCACATCGATGGCTTTCGCTGGTGAGTTTTCGATCCTTTTCTCTTTGTAGCAATCGTGACTCTCACCTGTTTCCTTCAGTTTTCTGCATTCTCTGTTACAAAAAGAAGTGAGACTTTAGATTGTCAAAAAGTAGGATAATGCCTCACTCAGTGGGCAGATCGCTGCAACCTTCAAGTCGATGTGAAAAGTTTGCCTAGCCAACGCAACAGGCTTAATCTTTGTCGTATACTATCCAATCGAACCAAGACGAAGAGCTAGCACAGTGAAGTAGAAGGAAAAGTTAGTTGAATTATCGTTTTCCACTGCATCTGCCGATGGAAATCTNCTCTCACCTGTTTCCTTCAGTTTTCTGCATTCTCTGCTACAAAAAGAAGTGAGACTTTAGATTGTCAAAAAGTAGGATAATGCCTCACTCAGTGGGCAGATCGCTGCAACCTTCAAGTCGATGTGAAAAGTTTGCCTAGCCAACGCAACAGGCTTAATCTTTGTCGTATACTATCCAATCGAACCAAGACGAAGAGCTAGCACAGTGAAGTAGAAGGAAAAGTTAGTTGAATTATCGTTTTCCACTGCATCTGCCGATGGAAATCTCGCGAGAAAATCTTACGCCTGAAGGTAAAGGGGTGAAAATAAGTAAAGAGACTACCTCATGCCTATGGATTTCATAGAATTCAAGTCCAAAAAGCACCAAGCATAAAGATCTTTGACTCGGGCAAAGCTACTGTGGCGTACCAAACCACTGACGCATATTTTGGCGTATTATTCCAGTTTGCAAGTTTTCATGAGTTACCGCTCTAGAACGCTCAAAAAAACTTCCATGCAACACCAAAGGTCAACTTTATTTTTCACTAAAAGTATATAAACCCACTGAAAGTTTCCTTTTCCAGATATGGATTTCCGCCTGCTACTTGATTTCGCGAGATTTCAGAAGTTGCATGCCGCTGGTGCGAAAGGTGTTGGTACAATTCCTCGGCGACTGGTTGTTTCGTAATTGTCGTAATAGGGCAATACTCCTTGTCGACATTTCTCTTTAATTATGCAGCTAAGATAATTTGTTTTATAACAAAATTAAAGGAAAGCTCGTGTTCGGATTTACCATGTGACCACAGGCAATAGATGACGAAAGCAGGCGCACGCTTTCGTACGTTTTTGTTCGCGAATATTTAACAATTATTCCTCGAGCCCGAATGGGCTCTGACTCTTTAGCCCATGAGGCCGAAGGCCGAATGAGCTATTGACTCAGAGACCATGAGGGCGAGACAGATAGCCTAGTAGTAGCTTAACCAATCAGAACGCACCATTGACAATAGACCACTAGTTGGATTTTACTAATAGCGAAAATACTGTTTCTTCCGGAAACATACAATAGACATTTGATTTTGACAGGGTCTATCGCGCGCCGGTGATTTCTCTACTATTCTTAAACAAATTCAAACCGTATACCAACATCACGCGCCGTGGAAAGATTTTTGATGTAGCTGGACAACTTAACCAAGACAGGGGCGGCTGCGAAAACGACACTTTAAAAAGGAGGGTTCGCGCTGTTTCAAACTTCACCTCGCTTATAAAACTACATCACGTTCCATCACGTTCCAACGTTCCATCGAGACATGTTAGGGAGTTGATTTCTGAAGGACTATATACCAGTTCCCGCTGGAGAGGCAAATAAAATCGTTATCTTGTGTTAGCGTCCTCCTCAAAACCTGACGGAATTAGGAAGTTGCACGTCGTAGCCAAGGGTAAAAGGTAAAGCACCCATATCTTACGTTGGTAACTCGTGAAACTGGTTCAATTGATAAACTTGAGGGCGGCGGGGCATTTTACCACCCTTGTTCCATCAGTGCTCCGATCCGTTTTAATGGTATTTTGAGTTTAGCGTTCACCATGCGCAGATCATCGTTATATGTTATTTTGCATTTACAGGTATTGCAGAGGGTGCAAAAAACGGCGAAGCCTTAGGAGCAACAGTTTCTTCGAGGAGTTCCCTAGAATTTCTCTGGGAAAGATTCTTCTTTGCATATACTTCTTTCTGGAGGACGACTCCCAAAAATCTGCATCCAGGAAGATTGGCCTAACGAAAGAAAAAACGTCTCAGATCTACAGAAAACTAGAGGACGTGTGCTCGGTCGATCTCGAGGACAACCCAATCATCCCATTTGCAGGTCCCGGGATAGTTGTCAAGTGCGACGAAAGCAAGTTTAACCACAAGGCTAAAGTAAGTAAGCAATCTGTTTTGTTTTTTTTTTATGTCAGCAAGCCGGCCTTACCGGGACACATTATGGAATGTTTGTTTGTCGCGTAATCTAGTCTCATTGAAAGAGAAAGTCATGGTATCTAACTTTGAAGCGTTAGGGTAAGGGTGGGAGTGGAAGTAGAACCTTCCCATCATTTAGCTGGATACGGACTCAAAGGAATTGAACCTTGGAAAAAGGTCTCATGTCTGAAACAGGTTAGCAAAATGAACAATTTTTATGAGGATTTGTTAGTTATTTGACCCCGCAAAAAATCCAACTCATGGAACTCTGTTCTTTTTTTTTTAATTTGGTCCAGTTAGCTGCTTGCGAGTCTGTATTCGAAGAGGTAATAGTCGGGTGCAATAATATTAGCAAATTACCGAGTGAAAACAAAGGCATTGTGTTAAACACCTGCTTACAAGGTGATTTGTTTTTATCTCAGAACAACCGCGGGAGAAGAGCAGAGCAGGACGTTTGGGTCTTTGGCATTGTTTCTACCGAATACACTCCTTGCCGAGGCTATTTTCAAGTTGTCAAACGTAGAGATGCTGCAACTCTGCATCCTATAATTGAAAAATGTATTCGTCCGGGCACTGAAGTGCACACAGATGACTGGGGTGCGTATAGGAACCTTGATCAGCGGCTAAACAATGTTGCAACGCATAGAGTTGTAAACCACTCTAGATATTT